TTTTGGAAAGTGATGTCGTAATTGATATTATTAAAAAATTAGCCCAAGCGGTAAAATCGACGCGATTTTTATCACCATTAGATAAAGCTCACTGTTCACATAGGTCAATGGATTGAGCTTGTTTTCTAGACATACACTTAAGCTTCTTGACTTGCCTTTGTTCTGACGGCTCCAACCAGTCCATTTTGCCCATGGCATGAATTTTATCAGATTACCTTTAAACTGTGTTAAGAAAACAATTATGAAAGGAACCCAAACCATACTAAAACCAAAACAAACTCTCTGGCGTTTCTCTTCTGTCAAGAGAGTTTTATTTTCATGTGTTAATCGTAAATAAAGAATTTTTGAAATTCAATTATGTATTTTGTTTGGGTTTCGTTTTATATTCGGTTTTTATCAACGCTTCACCTGTTGTTGTTTAGTGTGTTCACCTAGATGTTATAAGCGCGTGAAAGAAAAGCCACTGGGAGTTAATAAGCTTAATGGTGCGTGCCCCAACACCATTACAACTCGTTAGCACTTATGGTAGTGAAATAGCGCTTACAGTAGTAAAAAAAAAAAAATAAAAATAGCTCCTAATTTAAAGTATATCCTTAGGACTTTTCCCACTCCACTATATCTCTGGTAAACCACCTGCAAGTAGCGGTGTCCGCTGAATGAAGACACCCGTAACTTGTGAAATAAAATTCATGTTTTCTCATTCAGACAAGGATAGAATCTTCTATGTTGCTTTTGTACGGTTGCGAATGGGTCTTGGAATTTCACTCCAACTAGATCATGTTCATCATACGCTGATTGTCATGTTCAACAGCGTTAATCGAATTTTAGCGTTATTTAAAACGAAATCGAGAAGCTTCATACAAAAGGTCCATACTATTAACTATTTTTCAAAGACCTCCAAATCTGAATATTTACAAAGACCTTTGTACTTAAAGGGTGTTTTAAGCCAAACTGCGCCAAAGCAAATATCACGCAAGGTGCCGCTTATGTTATTATTATCTCTCCAATGTTTTTATCGCTGAAAGCTGTGTTTCTATTAGTCTAATAAAATTGTAGTAATGTTTGCCAACATTTTCTTAAAAAAAAAAAGGAAATTTATAAATGCATTCAAATTAAGCAAATATGCAACAATGGATTCCTAACTTTTCGTTAGCACCATGGTTCACTGAGCATCCAAGTTAGATGCATCATTAAAAATAAAGCGAAGTTTCTTGATCGGCCGTTCTCATGATCGGTTTTTCTCTATTTCTCAACACACAAAACAGAACAAAACTGCCGCCGTGCGCTATTGAACGTAATAATACCGAGGTAAGGCATAAAACAATTCAGAGTTAAATTAGCTCAGCGAGAGATCCTAAAACTCGACAATTATCTCAATGGTTTTGTTGGCACAAAGCTATTACCCTGTAATTAGATTGAGTACGAGTTTACGGGACACTCTTAAAGAGTCTTTAGCCCTACAAATTAATCGTTTATGGCAGAAAGAGCCGGTATTTGAAGCAATTCGGTCTCTTTTAAGTCCCTAAAAGCTCTCGCGAGGAACAGTCTTTATTATTGTACGCACGCAATGAAGAAAGAATAAAAACAATGTGCACAGTCATTCTAGTAATATTGGCAAGCTCGTAAAAACGTAGAAACGACGGAACACGTTTTTATTTAAGCTGTGGTTAACGTCATTAATGCCTTACTTTTTTGTCTTAGAGGGCTGTGTTTGGTAGTACAATGTACAATGGAGTTTTGGGAGAGCTATTTACAAAAAGAATTAGCAACGATACAATGACTTTTCGACAAAACAAACTTTTGAGTTTGTGCAAACGGTCGAGGCTCTTTGTTTTGTAAATACACTTCGAAGCCCTCCATTAAGGGCCATTGTTCATTAGACTAATTATCTGTGACCCGTAACTCCTGTTAATCAACTCTATTAACAAAATCGCTAAATGAACCAAACTAGTTTTGTCATCGAAAGGCTATTTTGGAGATAAGATACATTTGTTAAACACACAGGAAATTGCTTAAACATCGGCAAAGTGGTTTCCAAAACGCCCAAATTTCCCTTAAAATGTTATATGGGAGAAGTGAATGTTGCTCTTAATTAACTTCGTATATGTGTTGGAAACAAAGATTTCTGTCTTTTAAGAGCATAACACGCAGTCGCCAACTCCACCCAGGTATTATTCCATATTTGTCTGACGAAATTATCTTTAATTTTACCCTTGCCCAATTGAAACTATCAACGCGAATTAGCCCCGAATACCACTTTTGGCTAACAAAACGCCAACTCAATCGGTTCTTGCCACTTTGGAGCCATTAAAGGATATTTCAAATTATCTTTCTATCTGTATTCATGGCTAATTATATGCGAAAATTGCGTCTTGACGGCCATTTAGTAATTAGTCCATTAAGTCGACAGGCGGAACAAAGACAACATGTAGAGGGAATTAGCATTTGAACAAAACAGGCAGGCATGGCCTGTGGTCGTTTTTACATGAATACGATGGCAGCCCTTTCCCTCTGAAAGAGAGAGAGATATAATAAAAAACGTAGCTGATCCTTCTATAGAGAGAAAGCATTCATCTCGCAACAATGAAGAACGGCTGGTTTTGTTTTCTTTTTCTTTTTAGAGTCGAGTGCTAGGAAAAGATAAGGATAAGTTATGTGCCAATGGGTTTGAATAGAATTTTGAAGTGTCTTAAGAGTCGATATAGCCTAGAGATAAAAATATATATAACAAAGCTAAGCAAAGATTAAAAAAAAAATTGGCTGCAGGTGTTTTGGGGAGACATAGATTTCCAATGCTGAGTTCGTTTAAGGCTTTGTAGCTTTTCTCAAATTGTACCAAACGGAGACGACAAAAACTCAAATTATAAACCTGAGTGTCATTTTCCAAGACTAATTAACCGCAGTGGTGTATAGTTTGTTATATTGTGAGTCTATTATTCTTTCAGCTTTTTGACGCGCAGAGTTTACACAAATCCTTTCTTTTGATGGCGAACAAAGCAAAACAGTCAGTAAGGAACTTTTCAGCGCCTTGCGTTGTATAAGTCAACCATGTTTTATTCAGTGTGAGGTGGTAAAAGTACTGATCCAGTTCAACACAAATCAATCTCGCTCTTAACGAGCAAAAGTGCTAAAGATCCTTTTTATTGTTTCTCAGTGTTAATATGAAGTTATCTCGATACGCTCGCCTTGATATTAACAACAATTTGCCTCAATTAAACCTCTTCTCGCCAAACAAGTATTCAACATGAAATTGTACTGAATGATATGGATCGCTGTGTCATCAATTTAATGCTGAGAAGATCCATCATATGCATTACGTGTAAACTCGAGAATTAATTATTAATACAAAATGAGGAAGCAACTCTTTCCCCTTTAAATTTATCCTATAGATCATATATAGAACTATATTCATACCACGAACTATTTCTTGTGCATTTGCACTGAAAACCACCAATTGGCGTTGCGTGAGTCTTGCCCTCTCTCTTTCTGTCTCCGTCTCTCTGTTTCTTCCTTTTAGATAACAAAGGTTAGGCTATTTTAATGAAAACTTCTTTGAGTAATCTCTTTACCAGTCAATTATAGACATTCTTGATGTACACACTCGAGCGACTCTTAATCATTTGGTATAGCCGTGAAATATATATATTGCAATGGCGTCGCTGTATTTAACAGGAATTTTTAATTTGAAATTGATGGAACTAAGTAAATAGCTGTGATAAAAATACCTCCCAGCAGATGAGAAGAATACTAACCTCGTAGATCTAGCCGGTATTATATTGTAGTAATGATATCATTCTCGTATTTTTGATCGGGGGAATTTTGAGTCTGAACTCCAACCTTCAATTCACGCTGACATTTCGGTAGAGGGAAATAAAACCAGCTCGTCTACTTCCTCTGCGTATTTGCATATCTAATAGCGTTTACCCTCAAGTTCACTAGTAAACATTTCCTTAATTTACTTCCTGTTAAGATGAAAATAAATTCCATTTTCACCTAATTTAACAAGCCTTTGCTGTCTTATTCTTAAGAAGTGCAGTAAGCGACAAGATTTGTCCTCAATGTTCTAGGCTTGATGGTAATACTGAAAGTTATTCTCTACCTGCAGATATTGTGTGTTCTTTCGTTCCTTTTTTTTTTTCGACGGTATCCGAGGACAACTTCCTTTGTGCTGAAAAATCTAGAAATTATCAAGTCTTCACACGAGATGTATAAAAATAGTTTATAAAACTGCCGCAAGGTGGCGGTCAAGTGTTTGAATGACCTAACAGGTCCAAAGAGACTTTTAGCATCTTCCGCAAAGTTTGAGTATGAGGAATATCAAATATTTATAGCCGGAATTCGGAACTAGTAGAACCACCTCGAAACATTAGCTAGTTGGGTTCGCCCGAGAAATAGCGTTCGTCAAATGAAAAGTAATGGGGAGGTATTTTTTTTTTGTTCGAAATCATTCACATGTAGACAAGACACATATCCAACACAAGAAACAATAACACGACACAATAGACAGTCAGTGTGTATTCAGATTATGTTGGTTTTGATAATGGTTGTACAATCAAGTCTCTCAAACCGAAATATTGTTGAAGTTTTCTTCGTTAATCCATCAGAGCGATAACTGTGTTACTGAAAATTCTTTCGGTTGCAATGTGTGACGAACCGAGCGTTAGAATTGATATAACCATCGTTCTTATTTGAGCGCACCTCGGTGACCGATATTTTACTTCTGTTTGCTTGTCGTAAATCATCGAGATCCAATCCAAATAGTAAGACAATGAAGTCATCATTGTGTGATGACGATATGTTTGTATAATAATCGAGCACAGAACAATGAAAATATCTCTTTGAAGCCACTGACAGAAACAAGAAAAGTAAACACAAGGGCCATTTTTAGAGCCGTTTTTCTCGCACATGCTTGTCATTCAGAGGGCGTCATAGCCGTGTCGAAACGGACCAATCTGGTGACAAGAGTGCGAGCTACATGATAAATAACAGCACAAAGCCCCTTATAACTTGATAACGGGTCTTTTTATTCACTTAACAGATGGTGTGGTATCACTAAAATGTCATTGATACTCTTTTAAGAAATGAGAGCTTTAAAACGATCTCGTGGCGTTTCACGTTATACGTCAACGGCCGGTGGCACGCGTAGCATGCGGTTCTTTGAGGAATTGGCCCGTGGGTTGAAACGAAGTTGAAAGCGACGCGACTCAATTAAGCCAAGGGCATTTCTACAGTTTTAGTTTGAAAATTTTCCTCACTATATTGGAAAATAAATGTCAATAATATCAACTATCGCATTTAACGTGTTCTAAGAACTGTTTTCTTGTCCTACCTTTGGGAAAACAGCATTAAACATCACCTGTTATGCGGGCTAATTACCTATTGATGTTAAAAAGTCTTAATGCCTCAATCACGTTCGGTCTAAGCATATGTTACATGAATAATCTCAAGAACTCGACTTCAGTGAAATAACTCCTTTTCAAGTTTACACTATGCCTGCTTAATGTATCGCACGAATAAATTATATTTACAGAATTAAAACCTCTTTAATGTTAACACGATTAAAATTTCATAGATTGGACCTTTCCTTGTAACATCAGAGGACTTGCAAGTACACACGTTGCTGATTTTTTGGCAATCCTTATCCTTGAGTTAGAGCAAGGCTCGGTACATTATCTACGCTTTATACATATGATTATTTATCTTTACAGTTAGGTAATTCGTAAATATGAGTTAATCACATTCTTTGGCATCGGTCTGCGGGGAAAGGAGACTTTAGTCCACTTGTAAGACACCATTGGCTCAAATTTGGTCCTAACTGTATCGTCTGTTTAGTGGTCGCTAAAGTGGCAAGGCTCGGACTCTCTGTGTCATGACTTCCAGATGTTGATACGTCTGTATTTGACCAAGTTCCTGAGCTGTTTGATGGGCTTGCCGTGCTCTCTGATTTACTAGTCTCTTCACCTGGGCTGTCTTCGTTCACTCTGGCGCTGTGCTTCTTAAACTTAGATCTTCTGTTCTGAAACCAAATTTTCACTTGGGTCTGCGTTAGGCCGAGGCAGGCAGCCAAATCAGCGCGTTCAGGTAGAGCTAAATATTGTGTCTTGTTAAATCGCTTGGTGAGCTCCCGAAGTTGAAAGCTGGAGTAGATGGTTCGCGGCTTTCGAATCTTTTTTCCTTTGCCGTTTAGCCTGGGTTCATCACATGTTCCTTTCAAATCTGCGATGGTAATGTGTTAAAGTATGTTAAAACTCTCTTAAGAATTACAAAAATAACGGCTTCAAATGATGGATAAATTGTATCATTTTGCCTTTATACTTATCAAGCAAAGGGCTAGGAAAAAATTTTACCAGTCAATTTTCGACTAATTTTGTTCCATTTGACAATACAGTTTAACACTTCGAGCTTATATTATAAGAATTTTGCGACTCCTTTAACTTCACTAATTTTTATTAACTTGGGCAACCACAAGCGGATTGTGCGCTAAATCACTTCCGAATATTCTTTGAGTAACTCATGCCTATCACTAGTAAACAACTTAAATATTTCATAGTCTACGTACCATCGTGAGGAGAATCGTGAGGGGATCCAAAGCCTTGCATAGAAGGCGATAAGTATGGATGATGCGACAGCGGATGATGGTTCAAAACCGGCGGCATTGGAAAGGAGCTTCTGGCATTGCAGGCTAAGGAGTACTCTTGGTTCGCTGGAGGGTGATGGTAGTAGCGCATCGCAGTGTACGGGTTATAATTCGGCGGCACTGGATTATAGCTGGAGTAGCTATGCGGCCCCGGTGTTGACGGCAACTCCATGAAGGCGGATTTGCAAGGCGCAGGAGGTTCAAAGTAGTCGGCTTGGAAGTTGAGGTTCATGTGGTAGCGATAACTGCAGAACGACTCAATTATAACAACTCGTGCTCGCAGATGTGACAAATTGATAACTCGCCGTGTTCGCAACCTCGATATGAGACCAAATGGCCACCTGACTGGCTGTTAAACAACAAACTTTGGGGGCACGCGTGCTGGTCTGGTTAATATGTATATATTGCGGAGAGGATTCTTGCAAGAATGGTTTATGCAAATCTAATTGGCTGTTATGATAATATGGTTCTAATTACATTGTATTTTATCTTCTAATAGCCTTCACGCACAACAAAAGCAGCTGCTGTTGTCAGTATGTCTTCATCATCACTGTCTAATTTCCCATTGTTGCCAAGGCTCAGTAAACACGGCGTAAGAGCTAAAATTGATCAGCATTTTTTTTTGCGATTAAAAACAGGAATTTCTTCAGAATTTTTACGCATGAGGAGAAAAATCCCTCATTTGTCCAAAAGAGAAGCAAAGCACCTGATGTATTTGAGCCTAAACGAGAAATCCATCCTTTTTTGGCTAGGGATCATTAGCACATGTTGTTTAATTGGAGCTAAGTGTCCTTTTCATTAAACGCCCATAGAAAAATTCGTACGTGGACTTTTCCGTGGGCCTTGCAGTTTTTTAAGAGCGGATGACGAAATTAGACCAGCTCGCCGAAATAACTTTTCTTTCCTATAAATGATGGGCGAAAGTAGTAATCGCTGACGTTAAAACATTAAAGATTTATAACAATTTGCCATATAAAGAGGCTAAAAACGGCTAAATTACTAAATATTCTAAGGCACCAAACAATGTGATTCACAAACCGTTGTCTTCCACCGAATAATTGCTTTAAACTCTGATAGAAAAAAGTGTGCAAAACAACGCCAAGTAATTTAGCGGTACCCTTTCACTCAAACCACAATGTATCATTACGACGAAATGTGTTTTGTCTCGAGTGCTTTGACACTATAACCGTTCTGACTCATTTTCACGCACCTTGGAAGATGGCTCGCGGCCGGTTTCAATCTCATGGCAAAATAACATGAAAAACCCGATGTTTAGTTAACAACAACACAATGGGAAAAAGAAATTGTGGGAATAAGTCCCCGCCCGACGGGGTTTTACTCTGGCTGGTTAATTCGATCTTGCAGTGAAATAATTAAAACGCGAAGTTTGGCAACCCCTTGGAAAAGAATAGACTGACAAAAAAAAAAAAGAAAAGAAAAAAAAGGAAAAAAAGCAAGTTGATAGTCAAGGCCAAGCATACATAAAACCATCTTGACCATCTTGAAGTCTAAATCTCAAATGACTAGTGTTAGCAATTCGAAGTTTTTCAATCCCTACGGCAAAAACAATAATTTACAAGTATTAATCTGTTTCTTCCCTTTCTTCGGGGTTTTCTTTTAATGGAAAACATTTTCGTTTGGAATATTTCGAACATATGCGTGCGCTCAAACAAAGTTGTAATGAACAATCATAACCGAATCTATTATTTTCGAAGTAGTAACGAAGCACTTTTTTTAGTTTAAAAATGGCTGGTGGTAAAGTTACCTTTCGTTTCCTTTACGTTAAAGGTTAAAATGAAATATTATGCATTAGACTTTTAAAATGTGTTTTCCAATTCGAGAATGGTCCACAAATAAAGTCGTGGCGCCCTTTTTTTTTCAAAGTTTTTCATTTTATAGCAAAAGCGGCTGGGTACACCAGGAAGTAATAAGCTTTGCTCATTCCACTTGCACAACAATGTCAACTGCACAGTGTTTACATGGCTGTCAAAGAGCAACCGAAATATTAATCTTGCGCAAAAGTTTTTAATCATCCAGGTTAACCAAATCGTAACAAACAAACCATCTGTTGAAATCAGAGACAAATTTCCCTCCTATCGCCTGAGAAAAGAGCAATGTCGCTATTGTAGAGAAAAGGCAACCCTCAAAACTGAAACTGAAAATTTTGTAAGAGCATTTTAAGAGTATGTTAAGGTGTAAAAGAATAGATCTTTTGAGAAAAGGGAAAAACTGAAGAAAGAACTACCTTTACCATGTTAATTTAGAATTTCAAGTATCTCTAGACCAATTATGCAAACTTTGGATTCAAACTTTTCTAATCATGTTTTTTTTCGAAGTAGTTCAAGTAATTTCAAGGACAAACGAAAATTTCACTTTAAGCAGAATTCGAAGAAATATGACGAAATAGCAAAATAAGTTTGAAAGCCGTTTGCTTGCATGATGCGTACACAAAGATGCTAACCCGTCTTCAGTACCCTACCCGTGAATGACATTGAATGCGAAAAACTAACTACAGTGCACAGCTTGAAATTTCATCGGCCCAAAACTAAACAACTGCAGGAGGTCGGTGTAAACGAACTCGCCTTTCATTGAAATTTCACGAGAGCTTCTAAATGTAACTACGCGCAGCTTTTACCTCTTAGGAAAAGCAATAAAGTTGTTTCTTCATGGTCAGTGGCTTAACATTTAAATACTCTCTCTTTTAATATTACAGTGACCTTTATATGAAATAAAATTTGCTCTGTTCGTTTCCGAAAATAAGTTTTCAAAAGGAAAAAGCAACCTCCTCTTCTCTTTGATTGTTGATGGAGGGGCTCGTGATACCTATAGAACAGCAATAGAATTAAAACCAACAGAATTTCCTTAACATCTGTACATTTTAGCCTTCTCACGGTATTGTGCGTTTCGGAGCTGTGGGAAATCTGACAGTAAAGGCGATTTTTCGGTGTACTTCATTCATAAACGAACAAATAACAAAGGCAGCGGTGTCAAGATGTACATAATCGAACACAAAAGAAGCTCATTTGGGCAGGAAAATGCCGTGTAGGTGAAAAAATCGTGCAAATCGATATGAGGGAGCAAGTAGCGAACTGATAAGCCAACGATTTCAGCATTGAAACATTTTCTTTGTTCAATTTTTGTGCTCCATGGTTTTATGGAACCTAAGTATGGGATGAATTTTTTTGCTGAAGATTTGTTTTGCTTCTTGCGAGCAGGTCATTAAAAGAAAGTATTGTTGGTTTTTATCCAAACAGCTGGGAACCCGCTTTTTGATCTGTGATACCGAATAGCTTAAACTGACCGGGAATAAAATTGAAAACAGGGCATAACATTTCCAAAAACCTTGGCCAAAAAAACAAATCTTTGCAAAAACTCAACAATCTCCTGCAAAAAAATCTGTCATTTTTAGTCAATCATACAAACAATTCTTACATTTTGAAATTTTTATTACAAGTTTTCGTTTTTTGGAGCAGAAGTTGACTGCAAAAAAAATCTCAAGCTTACATTGAATAAACTGACAATATAAGATAAACAAACCTTGTGACCTTGTTTGAGTTTCAGTGTGGATACAGATTTTAACCCATTCGGAGCCACAGTTAGCTAGTAGCATTTCCAAACGGACGAAATCCACTGTTTCACGCCATTTATCCATCTTAACATGATCCTGTTGAACAGTTCTCAAATTTCATCTTCAGGGTTCGTGTTAGGATACAAAGCTTGATCGTTTGATGAACCTAACGCAACTCAACCTTGCAGATCGATGATACTGTGATGCACTTTCAGTTTAGATATCAATGCGAATTATCGACTTTAAATGCTCAAACTTAGGAGGCATTTTTTAACGATAGAAAATTCTTTATTTTATGTTTTAAAGGCGAAAATTTGAGGCGTTTTTAGCTCTGAAAAGTTGCTCAAAATTGCCTTAAATCTGGCTATTTAGAGCTTTGGAGATAGCTTACGGTCGCATTACTTAAATTATCCTGTAGTTCACGCTACCCTAACTATTCAACTACTTTCAGATGGTGTTTTACCCATGAAACATCTATTACTCATTTTGTTTTCAAAAACGAAGGCGTTGAAAAGACTCCTAGCTGCTTCTTTACATAATCAAGTGCTTCGTTCTTTAAGGATTTGCTGGCTTTGATGGTTAATTAATATGATGACACTTGCATTTGAATAGAAGTTTCAAACTTGTTAATTTTTTGATCATTTATTTTCTTACTTGCGGTGATAAGCAATTCAGCTTTGAATTCAACTCTCTCGAGGTCTCAAACCTGCCAACATATGGTTTCAAATCAGATTTGTAAAAGTCACGAATAACCTGTGAAATTGCTTCAACGATAGCAATAATTTTCAGCCAGAATTTTGGATGGGTCGACTTAAGGCTGTCCCTCTCAAAAAACGAAAATGAGTATCGGCTTAATCTAAATGAAAATATCTTTTCTTTTTTCTTTCCTCTTTCGAATTTCATTCTGAACATCTAATAACTTACTTTTCGTTTTTTTTTTTTTTTACATCTTGAAGGTTATAAGTTCATTCTATACAGTCTGTTTTGGGCGATAACAAGTAATTAAATGCAAATTCAGCTATGATACCGCTTGATGAAAAAGCAAATGTCAATTTAACTTTGATGCTCCCGATTACTCACAATTTCCTTTCTACATACAATCTTTCTTTGGAAAAGAGAGATCTCAGTATGTGACGATTCCACCAAATTCCTTGATAAAATCTCCATGCCATATAATAGGGTTTAAAACTTTAAATTATTTCCTAAATTCCTCCCTACCTTCTGACAAATCGGCATCAATGTAAGAAAAAATGAAATTCAATAATCCGGTTTGACTTCGATCGAAATGAACAATCTGCTCCGAGAGATGAACTTTATTGTCCGTGGGATTTGATTTCATTGAGTCTCGGATACCTTCAATTTGGATTTTTTCCTGATGAGTATGTTGTGGTCTGAACTTTAGGTGTAATTTCATACAGGGCTAGATATACGCACGATTTGTAAGCGATACTGATCGGTTTGATGCTTTTTGTGCGTAATTAGTCATTGGTGCAAAAACTTTAACGCACTTTGAAGATCGTGAGGTAAGATGGTGTGTCTTAGCGCAGAACAGAAAATTAACTTTGGTTTTAAAATGACATTGTGATTAAGGCGTCACTCAATTGTCTTCTTGATCAGAAGTTACAGATCCCAACTGTTGTATTATGTTCCCAGTTTTAGGCAAGATACGAATGATACGGTTCGTAAAACTCCTGTTTTCGTGGAATATGAATGCACTTTTAGTTGCATTTTGAATGAACATCAGTATTTTCGGACAGATTGTAATTAAAATCGTGGCACCTTCCTTACATATTGCATTTGACAGATCTTCAAAAACACGTAGTATCTGGCGTTTTCACAGATCAGTCCCTCTACTAAAAGAAAAACGCAAGAAAGAAGGCTGAAATACAAAAATTTCCGCAAATTGGGACTAAGATTCCTTTGAACCGGTCTGAATGAACTAAAAGGTATACAATTGCTATGATATTTTGTTTCAGCTTAAAAAATGCAGCGCGTATGATATTCAAACAGCCAGCCAGTTGAACAAAAGTTTTCGAATAAGTCGGCGCTCAAAATTGGCCGAAAAATTCTAAGCAGAGTCTGTATAATCTTTTTATTTATTTTTTTATTTGCTTTGATGGCGGAGAGAGGCTTTTTCATTTACTTTTTTTCGACTGTTGACACGTTTTTTTTGTTCCAAGAAAAAGGCCATGATTCTTGTGATGAAACCCAGTATTATAATGCCTTCGACGCTCTTCCTTCAATAATAATTCGAAAAAATCAAATTCTCCTCAGTGGTAAGGAAAAGTAGCTTTAAAAATGTTTTGAAATTGAGCAGACATCTTATGAATGGAAAATTTTACGTAAAGTGCAGGTGAATTGAAATTTTTAGAGCAAAAATATTGCGTTAGTTTACATGAGCGCCGCGGCTTATACAAGATCACATGGACTAACAGTGATAGCCAGAGGCATGGGAAAGCCCAAATTGCAGGAGAGCGCAAGCAAAAGGTGTTAAATAAGATTTTTGTTCTTTTTAACGCCTTTTTTTGAGTTATTTATTTCTATTCTCTGGTGTTCGGAAATATAGATTTTAAGCATCATGATTTTAATCACGCCATTAGGACAGCACTTTTCCAAGACGGCGCCAGATAGCTTTTCTGGAAAAAAAATTGATCTTGTCGTAAAATGACAAAATTATTGTAGCCGACGAGAAAATAATTTAACAACAATTGTTAATTGTTTGAAAGATGATAAAGAAGGTTTAAAAAAACGAACTCTCTGTAATGAATAATTTTCAATGAATTTCAGCTGAATGAGTTTGCAAAACAGAATTTTCCGTTATTTTTAAAAAGTTCTTGACCAAAATACTGAAAACCCGTAGAAACATTGACTCCAAATTTATGTGACTTTTTTTCTTCAATGTTCTTTTTTAAAATGATAATACTGAGTTAATTGCTTTTTATCTTTAGGAAGGTACTTGATTACATCACACGCTAGGCTACTGGCTGTTACTGCAATTAAAACTCTTTATTATCAAACGACAAGTACAGAAGGCGACTAATCAACTGCCTTTATTCACGAATAAATGAATGAATAAAACTGAACCAAAATATATTAGCAATATTATAAAATAGGTTTATCCTGCGATAGCGACCTTTTGCGAGTGTTTTGTTATTCCAGAATATTTTTTTATCGAGATCTGCAAGGCAAACAATTACGAACCCTTAATTTAAGCATTTTCCGACAAATACCGGATGTTTGTCGACAAGGTAATTGTCTGAAGTCTCATTTCTTGTTAGATAGCAAATTACAGAAAGTCTGCACTCGACTTCTGTCAATTTGAGTTACGACGGAGTTAATATGGCGCCATCATCACCAGCATACCACTTGTTTCTTCCATTTTAATGACTGGTTTAATACATTTACTAAAATTAGAGCACCTGTCGCCTTTGTTTGGCAATATTTGTTGTACAACAACTTTAATTTCTGCATTATCTAACCTCTTGGAGCGGAATACTTAAGCACTACGACACCCTTTCTATCGGTTTACCAGCGTAATAACCCACTTAAGATGTTGGAAAAAAAAACACTTAAAAAGTTTGTAAACTACTTGCCTCAGGCCTCTAAAATTACAACTTCTTGAGTGTCTTCTTAATATCCCAAGTGGGTTATTACTGACGCCAGTAAACAGAAATAAGTTGTGGTCTATTGCTTTATAGAACAAAATTCAACTTTTTTGTGGGTTTACCCGTGCAATAATCGATAAGCTTTCGACCATCAGGGCGCTCGTGGTAAAGCTCCTTGCGCGCCCGCGTTACATTAGATGATAAGCGATGCACTTTCAGGTGGAGGTAAACAGGGAAAGAAATACAAAGAGACGGGAGAAAATAATAACTGAACCCTTGATCTGCCAAACAAAAGAGAAGCTAGTTATCTTCAATCACGTGCGTCAAGGTTCAGTCAGAAAAAGGATAAAGAATTCAATTTCCAATTAATTTTTCAGGGAATTGTCATCGATTAATAATTTTTCTTCAACACAAACATATTTTATAAGAGGATTTAAAAAATTTAAAAAGGTAAAAGTAAGAGTAGTGCAATGTCGCTCTCTTTCGTGACAGAGAGAGAGCGACCAGACAGTGTTTTGATCTAAACTCTGTTTACAAAACTCATAATAAAGTAACCTCTAAGTACTTTCTTAAGGATGACGACCTTGATTGTCTACCGAAGATGTTAAAACAACCACTAATTACTGTTCTAATGATGTTCATCGTTGTCACCACGTAAAAGAAAAAATTATTTTTAAGCAATTAGTTTTCTTTAACAATAATACAACAATGCAGTTTCTCCGCACCAGTGTTCATTTTTGTGTTTTTTTTCGTATCATTTTTGTGTTTTTTTTTTCGTATGTTTGAGTAAAGGAACAAAATTCTGCGCAACATGTGGTCAGTTGTGTAAACTACAGTTTCAAATGAGATGCTCTTTTCCGTGCCCTTTTTTTGAACCCGTGACCTACAAATCGAATCGGAGTTTTCAGTAAATCTGACCAAACTATACCAAACGCCCCGAATAACTGCTTTTTATTATATATACAAAGTTGGTAAATATTGACACGACTAACAATTTTGATGCATGGTTTAAGTGATTTTTAAGATGCACTCTTGCTACGTAATAGGGAAGTATGCAACACCATAACGATCATGTTTAGGAAACAGTGCAGGAAAACATTCTGTTTTGATTTAGCCGCAGCTACAATCGCTTTTAGCGGGTTTCTAAAAATACCTCGGTGCCCTCTCAGTTCACAAAAAGCTGCTAACGATGTAGAACTATGCTCAAAATCTTAACCAACAAACATCGGACCAAAACGAAGGGAACAGTGCGATGCAAAACCATAATCAAAATTTTAACCGACAATCATTTGATTCCCAGGGAAAGGGAGGGTTTTCGATGTTTTTTTTGTTGAAAAAGGTGTTTTTAGTACCTATACAGTCTGCGGCTGGTTAAAACACGAAAATACTCTTATCCTTTCGACCGCTAAAAATCTTACACCAACTTGACTGACTAAGTTACCTACTTGTGCGTAGCAATAAACTATATCGTTAAAAATGGAAAATTGGTTGGTTGAATTTTACATTCAGTCTTCAGCTTAATCCATATAAAATTACAGGTAACATTCGCGGGTGATCTTAAATTGTCAAAGAGAGCAGAAACGTGCCAACAATTAAATGGCGGCGAGCAGTGAAAGGACTCAGCATGAGATTTAAGGATGTTTCATTTGAGGAAGAATCACCTGCCATACTTTCTATGTGCATGTGTCGTCAAATTATTTGCAATTGTTCCGTTTGTAATAAATAGGCTAAGACTGAAAGACGACACGCGTAATTCTAACTGTTAATTTTACATTTTTATGTTGAAAATGGATCTGGAAACTTAATGGGAGAAAATTTTTTGTAAACAATGACATGCAGGTTATCGTTTTTTATTGGGGAGAATTTCTTAAGACTGATGTCGCTCGATGTTTCTATAATACTGCATGCTATCAATTATCAAAGCATTGTGATTGCTTTTTTTTGGTAAAATATTTATTTGACCGACATTTCGTTTCAGTCTAGTCTTTTCCAGGCGTTCAGTGCGTGTTATACAAAGCGCAGTAATAGACAGTGCTATAGTAACAGAGGAGTGAAAAAACGAGGGAGGTTTGGGACGAGTCTTGTAATGACCGCGATCTTTACCCGTTCTGACCCAGATCTTGCTCGCTTTTTTAATCCCTTGCTACTGTCGTGCCGTTTGTTACTTCGCTTCATTTTACTAACTAAACGCCCGGAACAGGTTATTTGTAGCGAAAACGGAAAGGTTGGTTTTCAGAAAATCTTGAACGAGCTCGCTTTGAAAAAATACCTTGCGTACATCAGGGAAGCTGATTGTAACTGAGGATTTGAGTAATTTGTGCTTAATTAAGTAACATGTATTGCAAGTGTCGGAGGCGAATCCGGCATGTGTATTCCTTATAATTAAAAAAAATTCCAGGCACAGTTTAGACGGTGACCTGAGTGGCTTGAAGTCAGAAAAAAAACTGATGGATACTAAAAGAAAAATATAACGAGTTAATCTCGAATATTTATTGATTATTGTCATCCTTTTTCCGCAGGAAAATTCCTGCTTTAATTTTGCATAATTGGGTCAATTACATTTTTTAAAAAATAACATTGTACAAACATCTGCTACAAATATATCAATAGCAACAGTAGTCCAGGATGAACACGTGGATTGCATCAGTTACCACAGTGATATCCAAGTAATCCGTTAAAAAGTCTTCATCCGCGACAATAAATTGACATGACACATAAACTTGCAGACGAATTCTAAGTAAAATGGCCAGGTTTTTACGAATGGGATCTGTCCAAGTACCATCGGCCCTCCGGCTCAGAGATACATATTCTTTGTCATGTTAGCGTTTTGTCATTGGCTAAAATCCTACGTGAGAAACATGCGCTGTGGGATAAGACAGCTGAGGATGGCAGAGAACCGGTGAGAATCCTGACTGACAGTAATTATATGGCATGTTATTACCAGGGTGACAGTGTTGGTTGCAATGATGAATTCCCGGATGATGGGGACCATACACGTTCCCGGATGATCTGACACTAAATTCCATCTCTGCCGCTATTTTTCTTTTCCATTTGGTCCGGCGATTTTGAAACCAGATTTTGATTTGTGTTTCGGTCAGCTTGAGAGATTTTGAAAGCTCTGTTCGACGAGAAATGGTCAAATATTTGCTTCTGCGAAATTCGCCTTCAAGTTCTTTAACTTGTGTTGTGGTGAAAGCCGTTCTTTTACGCTTCTTTGACGGATCTCGGCATCTTCGTCGCTCTCTTGAGCTGCTTTCTTGTTGTATAACTGGAAGAGAAGAATGATTTTTAATTTAGCTTTCGCTGGTACCTTTCGCTTGACTTGCCGTTTTGAAATATTGTCCCTAACTTTTTTACAAGAAGCTGCCTTCCGATATCTCTTTTCTTTTTCTTAGCTCGTTGATTGTACATATTGGAAAGTTCTTTTAATCCTTTCACTCCCAATTCTCCCCCCGTCTGCCATTCAATTCTTATGATGTTGGTTTGGAGAATTTGATATTGGATCAACTAGCAATCCCCTAATAGATATTTAGGCTTATTCTCACCACTTTCCTTCTTGATATTATATTGATATTGTAAGGAGAAATTCTGTCTTGGTCGCTCATGGGAGTTGAAGGGTTAAATTTGGTTTGTTAGGATGGATTAACACCAAAGAGGCAGAGAAAAAAAAATAAACTAATAAGGTAGATGTTAAAGAAGATTAACACGAGTTATTGATTTCCGTTTGTAAATTTTCAGCCAAATTGCTCGAAATGGCCAAACTGAACATAGAGAATCAATATACTGATAGGCTAAGGTAAGAGAATGTCTTAAAGCTTGGTAACTCCTTAAATGGGTATTTAATTTCGCTTAGCGATCAGAGAACATCTTCAGTATACAAGTGATGAGAATTAAGAAATACCAGCAGGATTGTTTGATTAACACAAATCTAGAATTCTCGGTACTAAAAAATTTATTGTAAATGTAAAGGAAAATTAATACTGAGATCCTGAGATCGAAAACGGTTGACATGATAATCAGACCATTACTTGATGCACCATGAAATTTATCACCTCCATAAATACTTGAGGGAGATTTTACAAAGTTGAGAAAACCTTATTTCATCACCACCCCTCAGGTCTGAGGAAATTGTTATTCATTTTACACATCTGATGTGAAAGAGCTCTTATACTTTCGTTACACCAGAAGTGCCCACACCGTGAGAAAAACTGTAATACTTCACTTCTTAAAAACATAAACTTGAACAAATCACCGCTGAAAACAGAACACGTTTTAAAGAAACTGAACAAAGCTTGCTTTTAAAGACTTCTGCGAAAAGATTTGCACAGGTCTGCCAAATATTTATCTGAAATATATATTTTTTTAATTTACTAGTAAGAGACGTTTTCTTGATTTCAGTCATTTAAATTGCCTGTAGCCTTAAATGCTATTCTGCCCAAATAAAACTAGCCTACTGCATGAAAAGAAGCGGCATGCTTTGTTGGTCGAAAATCCATTGAAAACCGAGGACCGCAATCGAACTATAACCTTCCTTGGTTTTTCTTCCCTTTTTATGAGCTTAACCGTACATTCTTTCAAAAAACCCCGCAGAATGAGAACCTCCCCGAAGTTCTGCGTTCCCAGATTACCATCAGTCCATTTCGTGCGACTTCTTAAAGATAATTGCCACGTTACACGATATTCTCCAAATAACTATTTTTTCTCCATGAAAGGATAGCAATCTTATGCTTGAAAAACACCAGGTCACATATAAATTGATAAGATCAGTTTCCAGTTATGAAAAAAACTAAAACTATTTGTCGTTTTAATTCCACTTCTCAGAAGTCTTCAGGGAAAGACAGATATTGATTTAAAACAAAAATAAACTTCAAAAGAAGCCTATCCGTCAAACGAGGTAAATCTCGTTGCTTAAGCGTTCACAATTCGAAGATAATATGACAAGCAAGGCCTCCTCAACTCCGTCATTTGTTATCTTCCCTTTGAGGTTGGTTGACAGAAGTATTAAATTTTGTCGTTAATAAATCAGTTATGCTTATCTAATTCGTGGCACCTAATCGGTTCATTTAAGGTATTCTGATCTCTTACCGGTTGTTTTTCGTGATCTGTCGAACGGAGGGCATGCATGTGGCTGATAGTGCTGCCATGTATTCAGGCCGCCGTAAAGGAATGGAGGACATAACTGAAAGTCTCGCTGTACACTCTCGCTTACGTTAGCTGGAAGTTCAAGTTTTAAACTTGTCGGAGCATCTTCTCCCTTGCTACCAAGAATGTTATCTATTGAGAAACTGGAGGATCTGATGAAAGCTGTGGATTGAGCTTCCATGGTATTCAGCTTGGGAAAGCGTCCGAGGTGGTGGTATCCACTTTCTTCAGAGGTTTCTTAGATCCCAAGTCAACGAGACGGAGTCAAGACGGACGTGTTTTGATAGGCAGCCTACGGTAAACGGGTTAAATACTGATCGATATCACACTGTGGAGCCTGTTATTAGCTTTAAGAGGATTTCATTGGCTAATTGATTAATTAAACTTAACCACTGTGAGTGTTTTTATCAACGGTTTGTTAATTTGATCAAATTGTGGTGACATTTTGTTTAGAAAAGCTCAACCAATTCGAAAAATTCCTCGGATGAATTTTTTATGTCTTAACCGAGCATAAAATAATTTGAAAGAATCGGGAAATTCCTGCACGCCTGCCATGTTTAGCGCTGAACAATGAAATTCACGCCGATAGTTATTATACAACAATTAAGCAGTCGCATTATCACACTATTAGCACACGGAATTATTCGTTTATTCTTGATTGTGATAAATCCCGGTACATTTTACTTAAGTAAATCAAAACTTGATTAAACTAATCTAGTATTTGTATATAAATCCCGATGCATAAAACAAGCAACAGATGGTTAATTCAGCTTTTCTTTTTGCATTGTACTAAGTTGGCGTTTGCATCGGCTTGTTCAAAAGTTACCACGTTTAATAACCGCGCAGTAGGACATCGAGTGTTATTTCATTCCCGGTGGTGTGCCTGCTTGTTCTTTTCTCTCATAATAGACAGCAATAAAAAGAATTTGACAACAGTCTTTGTTGCGTGCGTTTAATTAACGTCTCCATCGATAGCTTGTGAAAGAACCCTTTTTGTTCTGTTTTTCTCGGATATGAAACCTTTGATTGAAACCACCTAAGGCTTGTGTCACCGGAGAGACAGAAGGCGCCTAAGTCAAAAACGGTTTACACTACGTAGAATTCCAATTGAAACTCTTCTTCAGAATTTATTTGTAGGCTAATAAGTATTTCGTAGTTTACAATATTAAACTATTGTTTGAGCATAAAATTGCCTGAATAAACAGGGGCAAATTGGCTCCATGCTTCAGGGTAAAAGCGGCAGGTTCAAAGAACAAAAGTATTATTGCACGGTAAGTTATGGCATGGTAAATCCAAAAAGTTTCAAATTCTGTATAGGTACGAAAGAAACTCGCTTGCCTCGTGTTAAGACATGGTTTCTAAACTCGCATTTGAAAGTGAAAAATATCGAGATATAAATCAATTTGATACGGAGTAAAAAACTGTGGCTTGGAAAACAGAAGAAACACCGCGGCCGTCACTCGATTGGACAGATATTGTGTGATGTCACATTTAAGGATAAATCATATATCATGCATTATTACAAGTGACAAATTCGACATTTGCAATCAGAGCTGGGAATAAAAGACTTATTAAATGATTGTTAAATTGTCGCTAACTCTGCCCTGCTGTTTGATAAACTGATCGAAATAAAATGTTAGGAATGATTTGTTCCACGCAGTCATCATGATTTCTCGTTTGTTTCTGAGTTGTTGTTTATGGAATCAAAAGAATTTTGGAAAGAAAGAATACTATGCCACATTTTGGAATGTCCCATTGTACACGCACAAATTTGCTAATTCTTTTCGGTTCTCATAAAATAATTATTTGGCCGTATGTGGTAGAGGTGAAACTGGTGTAACAAATTGCTCCTTACGCATGCGCGAAAGTTGGAGTTATTTGCATAAATTATTTGCATACATTTTACATAAATTATTAACATAAGGATAGGGGTTACCCGGAAGGTGTGTGCACTCCGATTGCATTGCATTATGGTAACGTTATTTTCAATATGGCAGCGAAAGCGACATAAATCGGCAGTCTTTGACTGAAGACAGGAGCCCATGGGCTCCTGCTGAAGATTACCAGGGGCCTATTAGTGGGCTCCTGAGATTACTAAAAAGTTAGGTCGCTTCTTTTCTCGTTCACCATAGCTAAAAGTAATTTGACTTACACTGAGCGAGAAGAATTATTTTTCATACGTATTTGTGGCGTATTTAGTTGCTTTTAAAAGCGAAACGCAATCACTGTTTTTTGAGGTATAATTTGAGACCGGTTTTCGAGCAGGTCAAATTTGATGTACGTGGTAGTTTAAAGCCTAGAAAACGTTTAGATGGCTGCTTTGATCCTTCTTCTACAGCTGTGACTAAACGCTCTCAAACGCTCTCCAACGGTGCTATTGTTTTATGCACTTATTCGTGCTAGTGTTTGGGACCGATTATGGCCGCCAAAAGGCCTATTGTTGAGCAAGGCGACACGCCAGGTAAGCCGGAAAACAAAAGGCAGTCGACCGAAGGGAGATCTAGGAAAAGTCTCCTCCAAGAAGGAAACATTCCAATAAAGTCCTCTGGAAGAAGGGGGTGGACAGACGCTGCATTTGCTTGTTTTGGAATGATGCTGGTTGCGACAAATGGCCTATGCAGTCTGACCCCAAGTTTTGGGATAGTTGTGCCAATGTAGTCAAGAAGACTTGTAATTCTTCAAGGACAGGTTTGTCAAAGTTTTTTCCAGTGCTTTATGTTTTTAATAACAGTGGATTGATTCTGGAACTCCATCCTTTGCTATAATTTCCATGATCCACTTTAGTTTACATTATTATACTTGTAATTATCGGTGTGTCTTAATTTCAGCAAGCTCAGTAACACTGTATATTTCCCGGTTCTTTTGTCTTTAGGTAGGCCGGGGAGGTTACCTAGGAATAGTGGCCGCTCCTTCGCCACGCCTCAGGTTCTTCTCTGGTATCCAGGACCTCTCGAGCGTGACAAGACCATAGCCCATGATGCCTTACGCGCAATTGGAGTAATGAGAATCAAACATGGCTCTTGTGATGAAGTTTGTGGAGTTGGTTTCAACTTTTCTCCAAAATTCCTCTGGAACTTTTCTTTTCTTAACGTTACTTGTTGCAGTCCTTATACCGTTAGTTGTCTTCAGAATCCGTGCAAAGCTGAATAAAAGAGGACCAAACCCTTTCACCTTTGACTGTCGAAGGCCACCTCAACCCCTGGTCTTAGACCAGGCGGAACGGGACAAAGTGATCAAGCAAGGATTTGTTGCGCGGAAAGTGCCTGACAACCTCGATGCTATCGTGATAGGTAGCGGAATTGGAGGGCTTACCTCTGCAGCCCTTTTGGCGAAGGCAGGAAAGAAGGTTCTGGTGTTAGAGCAGCATGATCAAGCAGGAGGATGCTGCCATTCGTTTATAGACAAAGGTCTGTTTATGCTTTATAGTAACCTGTTGATCTGTCTGAGTTATCCGTAATCTGTAGCTTTCAGCTCTCTCTTGCATCATCATTAACATGCTTACGGGTCGGGCAGAAGAGCCAGTGCAGCACATGACCCTAATACAGCTCGTCATTTTAAAGTGAACTCATAACAGGGTTTGGGAAGGTGGATGTGGCTTATTGCGTAATGGTACATGGCAAGGGTTCTTTGTAGAAAAACGAGAGCAGGTGGATAGTAAAGTAACTCAAGATTTAGCTCAATATTATTTGCAATGGCTGAATAGATAACAGCTCGGGTCATCGAAATTTTATCTAGAGAGCTCTACAATTGCATAGTTACAGAAAAATTATTCGATCTTCCATGCCTGATGAAATTACTCAGATTAGCTAACGACTTTTTGGTTGATTTTATTGTTGCCTCATGGACAGAGGCTCTTGGTGCTCCTACGAGTCGACTGAAAGGCTTTTCTAGTCCATCACTTTTGAATGGTAGTGTTTTTTATTTTCTTTTCACTACCCAAGGTTTGATAAATACTGATTTAGTAGTGTAAGCTGTTAAAACAACAGGAAACATTTGCGTCAAGTGGAGTTATACATGGCTGTTTTTGTGTCATTCTTTAGAGATCTAGGTCAGAATGTGGAAATTTGTTGAAACTTAATCATAATAAAACATTATGGTTGAAATTAGATACCTATGAAAAACCTGCATTCTTAGACAAGACCTATCTAGATTGGGTGATCTGAATTAGGAATAACATTCTTTCTTCTTACAATTTTCTCTTACATTTTGCCAGAAAATTATTAACTGTCAAACATTGTTACCAAATTCACAAACTTAATCAGTAAGTTGCAGAAATTGCATAGCATTACATGATGATTTTGTAAATTACATACCTAAGAATTATCCCTTAACCTTTAAATTCCAAAGATCTTATTGCTAATTCTCCCCTCCAGCTGATACCCATTTTCTTGTAAATTGGTTGGTTGAATTTGGCATTAGACCAAGATATCAACTTCTACCTGATGAATTTGAATATACTCATTACCTGTTTGTTGAATAATTTATGGATATTGTAGGGGGAAGTTACATCTTAATCAATTTTGGGTGTTTAAGGGTTAAGTGATAATAGCAAATTTCATTTTTTTGCACCTTCTGGTTTACATTACAGGTTATGAGTTTGATCCAGGTATTCATTACATTGGAGAAATGAACTGCACAGGAACAATGCGTCTTCTCTCAGATCAACTAACTGAAGGTCAGCTGGATTGGGTTCCCCTTGAAAAACAATATGACACTGTAGTGATTGGCAATGGAGATAATACAAGAAAGTACCCAATCTGTGGTGGACGGCAGAATGAATACCGCAATGCTTTGTATGAGAGTTTTCCAAAAGAAAGGAAAGCTATTGATCAATACATGAAACTGCTTAAGGTAAATATCATATTTTTGATACAGTTTTTGAGCACTGGTTTTGTTATCCTACATGCGGCATCTCTAACAAATAAAAACCTCAACAGAATCTAGATGTACCTACAGTACTGTCCACCATGTGTCCAATGTGACACAAAGGCAAATGAGCATGCCATCTGACTTGTCTGACTGACTGAGAAATAACCTGTCTTTGTAATTCAGAATCCTAAAGACTACTATGATTTTGTTTCATATTGACACTGGAAAGATCACGATCAAGTCAACCCATACAAAATCTTGATTATGACATGCATTTTTCTGTTTACACGTGTTGATATGTATCTGGTAGTTCATGATAGTACTATAACTTGCTCAAGAACTGTACTGGATATATGGGACTTCTTGTCTGTGGTCAGCTGGTGCCCATAACTGAATGAGCCCATGGGTAGCAGTTTAATGCAATGTTAGAACAAAATCACTGCTCAATTGCTTATTCTTTAACCAGTAAATGTAAACTTTGCTTTGTGAGCTTAACATTTCCATCACATGACAGGTGATGAAGACAAAACCCAAATTTACCACCATGCATTGAAATCAAGAGTGAATTATCCAATTTTTGTCATATAAATACCTGACAGTCATTTGAAATTAAGTAAAAGATAGGTGTATATTTTAGCTTTATTTTAGCTTTATTTTATCTACAAGAGTGCACTGTCAGGCTGGTCACTTTACCCACCATTTTCATGGAATAAATAGCAGTAAATAGAAGAAGATGCAATTAGATCATATTGTCTGTGATAGAATTCTAACAGATTCATGCTAATTCAGTGAACAGACATTATGTGGTAGCTATTCCCAGGAATTTTTTAATTCCATTTACACTCTGTTTATGGTCCTTCATGCTCTAACTCAAGCTACAGTGTGGTGTAAAGAAGTAGGTAGATGGTAAATTATGAAGGAGTTATGCTATCAGGTTCTTTTTTTTGTGGGACATGCACAATGCAAAAAATAATCATCAAAATTATACCACAAATATAATGTGGGTTGATGGGATAAAAATGCAAGAGACTTGGCTGAAAAGGAGGATGATTAACCCTTAAGAGTGACCAGCATCCAGTTTCTCCTTACAGTACAACCCCTGAATTAAACATAACAGTCACAAGAATAAAGCAAATGATCAACAACTAAGGAAGCTCTTGATTGTTAAGCAGATTCTCCTTGTCAGCACCTTAGTGGAGAATATGCTTGCTGATGAAAGGGTTAAAGGTTAAGAACATAGGGGATAAAAATGGAATTGAAGTAATGAACTTGAAAACTCAGGGTAATTTTTCAGAATGTACATGAACAGTGACATGGCTTCATTAAGTTTGGTTTTCAAGGTCGGGAAGAATTGTTTTTAAAACTTTGTTTTTTCTTATTAGAAAAATTTCACCTCTGAATCCTTTTTTATAGGATGTTCGTAAATCAATGCCAGGTTATGTAGCTTTCAAACTCATGCCTGTATGGTTGGCCAAATTCATGTTTACAACTGGAATTTCAAACTGGATGACAAAGTTTTTCAAGTATTCTAAAAGATCAGTTGCAGAAGTGTTGGAAGAGCTGACAGATGATAAGGATCTTCAAACTGTCCTGGCATACAATTTTGGTGACTATGGTAAGAGCTAGCAAACTTTGTGCCTTAGCCCATTCACCCTTAATCCTTTAACCCCTAAGAGTGACTGGCATCTAATTTCTCTTTACCATATCACCACTGAATCAAACATTAAGGTCAGGAGAATAAAGGAGCTGATCACCAAACTAAAGAAGTTCTTGATTGTTAGACAAATTCTCCATGTTGGCATCTTAGGAAATGTTTAGAGAACAGTATGGAGAATATGCATACTGATGTTAGTGTGTAAAGGGTTAAGAATGATTGGCTTCTTATTTCTCCTAAGAGTATTACCCTTGAATCAGATATTAAGGTTATAAGATTAAAGGAAATGATCACCAATTTTAGAAGCATCTGATTGTCAAACAAGATCTCTTTGTCAGTACTGTAGGAAATGAAAAGAGAACATTGCTGATAAGGGGGGGAGGGAAGTGGAGGAAAAGAGTGCTTCTGTTTACAAGATATTAAATGTGTTCATTTCCTGTCGTTTTGTCATAAGTGTCCTACCAGTCATGTTAACCCTTTAACTCCCATGAGTGACCAAGACAGAATTTCTCCTTACAATATCAATACAATATCAGCCAGATGAGTGATGAGAATAAAGAAAAATATCAATTTGGAGATAATTAGTTGATCCAATACTTAATTCTCTGAGGTAACATCATAAGAATTGTATGGTTGACAGCAGGGAGAATTACAAATTTGATCTGGAGGTTAAATTTTATCAGCATTATGAGAAGAGCTCTTTATTCTAGTCATGAAATGTTTGAATTACCTTTCCAATAACGTTTATCTTTTATTTGTTTATTTTCTCAAGGGACTCTTCCAGGAGAAGGCAGTTTTGCAATGCATGCTATACTTGCAAATCATTACCTATTTGGAGCATTTTATCCACGTGGTGGGGCAAGCGAGATTGCTTTCCACATCATTCCGGTTATAGAGAAAGCGGGTGGAAAAGTTCTAGTCAGAGCAAGGGTCTCCAAAATTCTTGTTGAGGAAGCTTCTGGGAAAGTACAAGGTAGGATGTTTGAAGAGACGCAAAGCTTTTGTTGTTGTTTCTTTTTGTGCATTACCCTCAGATTATTTTGCCTTAGAGCTAGTGTCAGCGCATCACGTCATTTTTTCATTCGTCTGTTATTAAAAATAGTTAAGAACAGTGCGATAAACCTGCTAGAGTACAAAAAGGGTCGCAAGTACTACGGATGATGAGTAAAGGGTGGAGACTAGTTCCCTGATTTATAAATCATGAGCCGTTAAAAAAACTAAAGTGCAACTTTTCAAGGTGAAAACTTTGTTCAAGTGATAATTGTTGAGTGTATAGAGGTAACTCAAGAGATGAACTTCCTGAACAAACATTAACCTCAGTTCAAAAGCAATAATTTGACTACACTGTGGTTAAGTGGCAGACACAACATGACTCAACGTGATACCCAGTAACATGGCGTGACCTAACATAATTTATTGTTTTTATTTATCAAAACTGTTTTTGTTTGGTTTTGTTTTTTTCAGGTGTACGTGTTCAAAAGGGCGGTAGTGAGATGGATATTTTTGCTCCAGTTGTGATTTCGGCTGCAGGGATCTACAACACATTTGAGACCCTTCTTCGATGTGAGGAACCCATACCCAACAAGAACCTGCTAAAATCCGAGGGTGTTCGTCATGGTTACGCGGCCATGTCGGTCTACGTCGGCCTCAAGGGGACGAAAGAGGACTTCAGACTAAAAGCTTCCAATGTATGGGCTTTCACCGACAACGAACTCGATAAAAGCACTAGGAAGTACTTACAGTCGGACGCTGCTACCGCCGGAACTGAAGATATTCCCCTTTTGTTTATCTCCTTTCCCTCGACTAAAGACCCCGAGTGGGACAGGAGACACCCCGGTAAAACGACATGTACCGTCATCACTCTTGCCCCGTACGAGTGGTTTGAGCGTTGGGAGAACGAACGGGTTATGAAGCGGGGCGAGGAATACGAGGAATTCAAAAACCGTATCGGCAAGCGCATCTGGGAACAAACTTGCAAGCTCTTCCCGCAAGTTTGCGACCGGGTTGATTTCTTTGATGTCGGGAGTCCGTTGAGTAACAGATACTACATCGCTGCTCCTCGTGGGGAGATATACGGGATTGATCATCACATTGACCGGTTCAGTCCCAACGCCGTGATGAAACTCCGCCCGGATACGTCCATCCCTGGGTTATACCTGACCGGACAGGATATCTTAAGCTGTGGGTTCGCTGGAGCGATGTTCAGCGGGGTGATTACTGCTTCAGCTGTCCTTAAGAGAAATTTATTCGCGGATATGAGTCGTCTTCAAACGGAGGTGAAGAAAAAAGCAGCGAAGAGTGCAGACATGGAAAACGGAGTGGCCAGTGATGGTTTAGTCAAAGAGTGATCCTAAACTTATTTGGTCATAAACCAAACTCTACTTCTCGCAATGGAGCGTTTATCTAACTTTACTATTCCATATTATCTGATTGATTGATGAAGTTCGTAATTACTTGAGAGAGTTATAGAATCCTAAAGAAGGTTTTATTTGAAGGTGATGATGGTTCTCATTGAGTTGAATACTATTAATTAATTACGTATTAATTAATTACGTAACGTTAATGAAAGGTGTGGAAATTATTTTTAATCAAAAACATATCTTTCGTAGAATGATAATATAATTATAACAAAGGTTGAGAATTATGCCGATAACTCCAGCCGCCGCTTCAAACATTTAACCGTTTAAATCCTGACATCAGTTGGTAAATTTTCCATACTGTTCTTTATACACTTCCTTAGGTACTGACAAGGACAATTTGTTCAACTATCGAGAGTGATCTTAGTTGGTGATCATTTCCTTAATTCTCGTGACCATAATCTGATATTTAGGGGTGATATTGGAAGGAGAAATTAGATGCTAGTCCCTGTAAGGGAATAGAGAAGGTAATTAAACGGAACTTTAATGTTTTGGACTGGTAAGTCCTAAAATGAGTGATTTGTATCATTCCCAGTGATTACTTAAACGTGGTTATCTAGTATTCTTGATTACTTGTATAGGACAACTGGAACATAATTCGTGTATTTCGATAGAAGAGGAGAGTAGGGTACTAGTGGTCTATTCGTAGAAACTATCGGCTTATTTAAGTGATTTTAAATAAAGTTCTCAATTGTGTCCGAAGATAGTCATATTGTCAGGCATTTTCAGTCGACAGTTATTTTCAGCTCCGAAAAGTTTTCACTCCTCTCTTGGAAAAATGTTCCATCTTGAATTGGGTTGGTTGGTGATATTGGTCTACAAACCCCTCAGCTCCCTCTCAACCAATCAGATGCAGACTTTGTCGTGTGTGTTTTCTCGCGCCTGGAGCATTATCCCTGGTTAAAATCTGAACTTTGATTGGATTCATGTGCTTTCTGATAACTGATTGGCTGTTGTAATCATTTTAGTCTAGCGAAACCCGACCGAAATATGTACATTCAGTTTCACATTACCGAGCAAATTTCACCTCTACAATCAAAATCAACAATGTCTGGGAGATTTTTCACATTTCACCCTTCCCCCCTACTCCCTTGCAGCTCCTCTCCCCCCCCCTTCCACCCCCTACAATGTTATCCGAAATAAAACCTTTCCAGTGCTAAGTCAGTAAGAGGTAGAGAAAAATATATACTTTTATGTAAGTTTCACCAGAACAGAACAGTTTTATTGACATACAGATCAAGCGATAACAACTAACGAGCCAGACATACTTAATCTTAAGAAACACTTTACGATCAATGTCTTCAGTGAAACTTGGTGAAGAGAGCACCAACAGTGCAACCACAATTACTGTTTCGAAACCGTTTGCAACGCTTATTATAGCCAGAAACAATATTTTATCGCTTAAAATAACCTTACTGTGCTTTAAGAAGTACTTATAAGTTCTCAAGTAGTTTGTTTTAAATAATGGACGAATGTTCTTCTTGTGTTTTACATTTCCCAGACGTTTTAAATCTGGCACTTCATTTCTTTCCAGCAGTATTCGCATGATCAACAGCCATCAAACAAGCGAACACGGTCAGTACCATCTTGGCCTTGACCTCCACTACGTCCTCAGGCAGCGCGTACAATTTGGCGCCAATCTTTCGCCCCATGGAGACGGCGTAATTGGCATTCAACAACTTCTGGTCGTCTGACAGTGTCTCCCCTGTTGCCATTATGTTGTATTGAATAACACCTGGCTTGATGCTGTCGATTAGATCGATCACTGACTTGCCGTTTGAGATGGTGGGGTCTTTAAAACAGGTTACTCTGCTGTCTTTCCCGCTTTTTGTCAGTTTTTCATTGACCCATGCGATAATTTCTTCATCTTTGATCTTCTTGTCGCTTCCGGTGCATTTTTGCAGGACCTGCAATGTGTAGGCGCGCATGGTCTGGTACAGGAGACCCAGGACCAGCTTCTTGTTCATGTCCAAGATGTCTTTGCCTCCGGTTCCTACCACGGAAAATTCGAGTTGCTTGGCGACGTCGACCACGTAGTTACAGTTCTCGAGTTTCTTCATACTCTCGCTCATCTTTTTATAAGGTGGTCTGTTGACCTTGCTCCAGTCCACCACGCCTTTTTTCACCTGAAAACACGGAAAACTAATTAGCTATCAAATCATGTATCCTTGTATTTTGACCCACACCTGTGAGAATGGTTTGACCTACTTCTTTATTCGATGACGAAGCTTAAATTTCCAATAATAATAATTGTAATAAATTTGATGTTAAATTCAAGATACTCCTCGGAAAAGCGCCCTGAATGAATTTTCGGTTAATGGCATAAAATAAACAAATGACGTTGGTTCTTTGTGCATTACCAAATCAAACAGCTGTAGAAGAACGATACCATCATCCAAATCTAGGTAGAGATGTTGCACAAACGGCTTCACTCCCATGCTGTTCATCCAGTTGCGGAAAGTTTTCTCCTCTCGTGTTTCTTCAAGGTTGGGCAGCTCTTCTTCAACTGGCTTCAGTGCAGGATAGTTATTGAACAAGTTGCAGACGAATCCTAGATTCAGCTTCGCGTTACCATTAACAATATTCTTGGCTCGCACAAACTTGCGGCATTTCATCTTGGCGGCATTGTCGAGGACGAGCCCGGCAAGTTTCATCGGGTCGGACACGCCAATGTGTGGTTCGCCGACCCCGAGTTCAGGAGGGGCGATCTGGAAGGGGAAAAAGGTAACCTTACTAAATAGAATAAAGAAAAATAAAAGGGGGTAACTTTCTTAAGAAACTGTAGCGCCTCGTCTTTGGGGTTATTGCAAGGTAACTTGGCTTTATCAACTGAGCTGATGATGGGAATTGGCCATCGTCGAGAGAAATACTAAGCTGAAGTTTCGAATGTCGGCTCTTCCTTATAGCGAATCCAAAATATGTTGCTACAAAAGTATCCAAATAAATTGGTCCTTTTAGAGAAGCTGTGATGGTTTTTATCCTGGGTTCTAAATTATTAATTGGTAGTTGTATGGTTTGTTTCAGATTTAACGGAAGCAGATATAGAGAGAATGATCAGACCACGTCGAGAGTGAAGAAATCACAATTCAGACGATGCTCTTAGAGGACAGCTCTCATGCTACGCATCTCAGGAGTCCGAGCTTCAACTTAAAGCTATAAAGGATTACCTGGTGAAGCAGAACACTGTAATTCTCCGCATCAGAGATATCAGCTGAAAAGTTGGCGACTCGCCGAGGGTGCCCGGCATCCTGAAGATGATAGTTGAACCAACGGAGCAAGATGGCTTCCGGGGGAAGACGGAGAAGTTTCTCGATGGTCTCGTCCTCTTCAACCAGGCGAACAAGTCCGGGACAGTTCTGGATAGTCAGTTGCCTGAACAGACCGATCTAAGAGAAGCAATAATAAGCATTAGAATTATAATGATCCCATGAACAGCACAATTTTTTTGGAACGAGCAGCTATGCCGTGCATCATAGACGAATCTTTTATGCTTTTCAATGGCTCTAGATCTTTCTTAAGATAGGCACCGTTGAATCATTTAGACCCGTTACCCGTTTCATTCGCTCAGCTATGAGCTGAAAATCGACCGATGAGGTATTTTCCTTTATGTAAAAGATCTTAGATCATGTAACAAGAAAGGTTTTCCACATTTGGGTTGCCTTCGGCAAGATTGCGGTGAGTCGCATTGGACTGTGTATTTACAACCCTGCACAGTTTCATACTCTGAGCCCACTACCGCCGTTAAACAGCTGTTTAACGGCATAAAGCCGACAATCAAGCTAGCTCTTTCATCATTGTCTTCCAACGTAAACCTGGTAAATGGAGATCATCGAGTGGCTCAAAAGCTAAGAAAATTGACCCAGGGAATTTCACCCACGTTCCATTCGACATGCGAAAAATTTGGAAATTCAGATCGAAAATTTTAGTCGAATGGAGAGGGCCCTGTATCTCTGGAGGCCTACACCTGACGTTAACAGTTTTGGAGTAAGCACTTTGGTTTTTTAAATTTTTTTTAAATTTTATTTTTATCAAAGCATTTCTTACGTTTACATACAAAACAGAAATTAAGGAAGAAAAAAAAAGAGAAAAACACACACACTAATACGGTACAAATAGAAGATTACCAAGTTGCACACACTCACAAAGCTATTACAGCAATACGGTTACCTCGTATGTAAGTTACAATGACATCACTTTTAAACTAATGATGGAAATTAATCATGACATCACGATCACTTATTCGTAAAAACGCTTATTAACCTTTCCCACTTTCTAAAATGATTAGTTAATTTGTCTCTTTTCCCGGCAATACGGAGTTCGATATTGTAAACACGCCTTGTCCTGGCTATAAAACCTCGAAGAGAAGGTATACCATTTAGGTATTTCCGAGAGTAAATATAAAACTTACCCAGAAGCAAAATTTGGTTAAACAGGAGAAAATCTTCTGCAATATCGAACTTACCAAAAATGACATCTTCCTCTTCAAGGTTATCAACAGGGATGTTATAATCGCACAACCAGGACAAGACATGTTTCCAAAAACTAGATGATACTTTACAGGAAAAGAGTAAATGCTCTACGGATTCAACCTCTGTTTGGCAGAAAGCACAGGACGGCGAATCAGCCAAGCCAAAACGAAATAGTTTTTCGTTTATAAAGATAATACGGTTTAAAATTTTAAACTGAAATTCTCTAAGTTTAGATTCTAATGTTGCGCGAAAAGATAGCGAATAAACACTTTGAGCACTTTGTGAGAAAATTCTGTTCACCATAAAGCTTCACATACCCTGATAACTTGCCACAGTAAACCCAGCACCAGATGAGGTTTGCCTTCAATTAGATCCTGCGCGCCAATATTGACGATGTTACAGCCGATAGCCATGGCAGAGTTCAACACCAACGTTTGGTTTTCATGAATGTTGTAGACGTTTAACTTGGTCTTGTTAATAGCTCTCTCGTCCACAGTACCAGGACAGGCCCAGTTTATGAGTTTACACAGCAGAATCCCGTCTTTAACGGCTTTGAAAAGACCATCTTTATCGTCCTCATTAATTGGCACGTACTTCCCTGTGAGGATAGAAACATAATGTTAAGATTTCATCTACCATTGGGTAGTGTTAACTGGTAAAGGAGAACCAACAAGCTGATCTGACTCGAATCGACTTTCAAAAGAAAACTAAGAGTCAGCTGGAGTGAATTCATATTATTTCATTCCTGCAAGACCTCGTATCACAACTCCCACGTAGGGCGTTGCTTCTGAGAAAGAATCACCCGCGGTTCCACTCCGCCCCCCAAACTTTGATCAGAGAAATAATCCTGCATGTCATTTCTTCAAATTAAATTATTAGACCCTCGCATAGAATTCTCCTATGTAAAACAAAAATTTTACTTAAGGCTCAAAAAGTTCACCGTTCCGTCACAATGTATTGCCAATGCAAAACGAAGATTGCTTCGTATGCAATGAGTCCAATAACAGTGAGGCATGTGTTATTTGAGAACCTTCCCTCTTACTCAAATTTTGAATATATACTTTGTCAAATAAATCCAAAACATAATTATCATTAGCTTGCATAAGGTTTAGTTATTTGAGTGAACTGAACGCACGAATTTCGGACAATCTACGCAATTGTCAAGAGAAAAATTGTTATTGAGGGTGCATACTGGTGTAAATAAATTTAATGCTTTCTGTCGAACTCACTGTTTGCTGGTTACTAAGAGCAGTTTGTTCCTTCTTACAGTTAACGGACACTTTCTTTTAAAATAAACTCACTGGAAATCTTTCCATCCTCACCGAAAGTGGTTGAAAATTTCAATATCTATTTCTCCATCTGTGAGTTTTACTACAACAACTCTAGTGCACGAAAACTTTTTATCGTGAAAATCTCTATTTGTATATCACATTTCTAACCTTTCAAATCGCGATCATCTTCCAGAACTGAGTTAATCCAGTTGCTAAAGCCGATCTGCTCATCATCAGAAAACGAGTGTCTTGTCCCTTCGGCAGATGATGCTGAAGTCCCTCCGACAGCTTGCACTCCTTTGCGGCTGTCAACGGCCTTTTTGTATGCACCTCCAACCGCTTTCGTAGACAGCCTTGCAAATAGTTTGGTAAAATCGTCAAAGCTTAACATCCCTCGCTTTTCTTTCTGCACTTCTTCTTCGATATCTCGCAGTTTGAAGGCAGGGACTTCTTCTCCACACTCTTTCATCACTTTACCAAAGTCTTCGCCTTTCAAGGAGTTTCCCTTAGCGTGCTTGTCGAAGGCTTGTCTCAATTCTGCCATCCGAGAACTTGAAAACATGGGTGTGAGATCCGCCATGGTTGAAATTTGAAAGTCTTTTGAACTCTGTAAGTAACCAAAGATAATTTTTCAAAACAAACGAAATTCGTCAGGATGATGAGGTTGAAATTCGGTGACGTCACAGTTATGTTGTCATATAAGTGGCTTAATGTGTCAATTAGGAACACACAACGTCAGTGAAGGAAGTTCAGAGAAAGAGAGAGCATTGGAACCGAGGTTGACAATAAAAATTAACTTTCTTCCAGCTTTTACTTCGTTATTTTTGCCAGCCTTTTTTGAAAAAATAGCCAGGAAAATAAAGCATGAAAGACTTGAAAAAATAATGTGTAATTCTGCTCCTTACGTTTGTCAAAAAAAAAAAAAAACTAAGGAATTATTTTCCCCTTTTTTTCACCCACCATAAAAAAAAAATCCCCGCCGTACCCTACTTTATTTTTCTCGTCGCAGTCGCTGACGTGTCAAGGTACTTTCTGCGCATGTAAGAATGTTCCCTCTGCGCAAGCTCAGTGAAGCATAAGGTAAAATCCAAGATGGCGGATAGTCTGGTGGTATTGATCGAATGAGATGAACTAAAAAATGTTTAAGAAACTAAAGCAGAAATTAGCGGAGGAGACGGATGGGGAACAGAGCCCCCTGAAGCAAAATGCACGTCAGGTAATGATTCAAAGTTTTGATCGACTGCACGCGTCATTTCCTCTTCTGTGATAGAAGTGTTTTAACTGTTCTCAACGAACAATGATCTTGTCAAGTTTTATTCTGTGTGTATTCTACTGATCGTCTTGTGTTGAATAATTTAGACTCCGAAAGAGCCAGGCAATGAAAGTACCAATGTAACCCTGGCGAAATCTGAAGAAAACCGTGTATTTCCGCCTTCAAATTCAGCTGCAAATGTAACAAGTTCTCCTTCGAGTACATCATCAACTCCTAAAACATCACAGATTAAACCGAAATCTACGCCACGAGAGGTTCTCGACCGAGTCTACAACCTCCTTGATTCTAAGGTATATTACAAATGATTGACCTGAAGCTATCGCATGAGTGAGTTAAACCTGATTGAAAATCAGATATTTTTTTGTTTCCAAATCAATTATACTGGATCGGAGGTGATCAGTGATCTTCGTTAATAACAGTTTTCAAAACAGCTGTATTTTTATATGTGATTGTGTCATCCTTGGCACTTTCTTTAATTTTTCCTCTTAGTCTAGTTGGTCTTTTTTTGTTATAGGTTTCCTTTGTCAGCATAACTTTAAAATGTTGTAGATTTTAAAGGTTTCAGGCTATTGATTTGTAATAGTCAGTGTATTAAAAACAAATCAGAAATAAAAAGGAAAAAGAGATAAAATGAAATAAAAAGGAATTTAAGTCTCTAATTAAAAGAAACTTGGGTGCTGCATTAATGGAGGATATTACCAGATAATTGGTTTTATCAACAGAGTAGATGATGTAAATTTGCCACTTTGAGGAGGTCAGCTAACCTAAGAAATATCATCTCTAAAAACCCTACAGTGGCCTTTGACATTATCAACTCAGTTGTCAATACTAATTATCTTAAAAAGAATTCTTTAAATAGGTAAAATTTGACTCAGCAATAGATACTGATTGGAATCTCTTCTTGTTCACTGTTTTCTGGTCAAATTTAAATTTGGAGTGTTGTTGGTGTTGTTTTCCTGCAGAATAGAACCAAAAGTAATCTGAACTCACTTGTGACATCAACAAGTCACAGAAAATTATGACAAGAAGGATTGAAAAGATTTTAAGGATAAACCAAAAAATGTCAGTAATGATAAAGTTGCAGAGAAGCTGGTTAATTCCAAGCATCTTACTTACTTATATAGGTAATCAGAATGCAAGATCTAATTCTTTGCCCACTCACCGTGTTACATTATAAAGTTCTGTTATGTATGTATATATATATATAAATATAAAACAGAACTTTACAATGTAGCACTGTGATATGTATATATATATATATAGAAAGTCCGTGTTTTGGTTTTTCTGTATTACAGTGCTTGATACATAGAAGTAGAGCATGATATGTATTGAGTTTGGGGAAAAACATTTAAAAACACATGTTAATTGTGATTAACTCACTCTTTGATGGCAGAAAAACAACAATAACAACAGCACTCCAAGTTTAAATTTGACTAGAAAACAGTGAACAAGAAAAGATTTCCACTGAAGACTGAAATAGGCTTGTCGGGATGAAAGTGTAGTCTCTTTGTTTTTTCCGTAACTCAGTACATATATATATTCATGAACATTTAGTGATTTGATGAAATCCCTTGTCTTAAAACAGTTTAGTGTTTAATTCTGACAAATTGTTGGAGGAATTAAATCAGAGGTAACTTGAGGATGAAGAAAAAATTCATGAAAATGCTAGAGTGAAGTAAAGCAAGGAAGTTAGTGAAATTCAGACCTTCCTAATTTGTTTATTTGTTTGTTTATTTGTTTCATTGTTTAGGCTGTTCAGCCTGATTCCAGAAATGGAGAAAAGCCTCATTCTGGTGAGACAACTCCTCCCAAGAGCACAAGCACCCCAAGCAAAACTTTGTCACAGGACAGCATCAGTGATACTGAAACTCCCAAGAGAACTGTTGAACGTCAAGGATCAATCCCTCCTTCAAGCCCTATTTCTGTGGGAGGACGGTCTGACGCTGAGTCTGATGCAGAGCAAAGTGGCACACCCGGTACACCTGGGGCTCGCCTAGATGGAGCCACAAAGGAAGAGGTGGTGGCCATGTTTAGAAAACAAGAGAGAGTCTTGGCACGTTACAAGACCAGATTCTCAGAGGTATCGCACTTTGTAACATCTTTGTTTTTACATGATTTTAAAGGATTTCAATTTCAATCAAATTAATAAGGAAAGCTACAATGTTAGTAGTCTCCCAACTTGCGGGTATGGCTAAAAGGGCTAGGCTATTTTCTTGTATGCATTTAGCACTGACACAGTTTCTGTAGTTGATATGAGTGGTTAGAAAAGCCAGGAAGAATGGAAAATGAAAACAGCAGAGTTATCATTTATTTTTTGAGCTACCTTGTCATGCACAATCTTTTGTATTTTTGCATTCATATATTGTTGATTTAAGGAGAAGTCTACTTTTAGTAATCACTCAGTTCAAAATGAGGGGAATTCTATTGACAGGTTTGTTTATGGTGAGGTCCAAAAAAAAGTGTACTAACACATATTGGAAAGAAATCAGCCAGATTTCCTAGCCATTCCCTGCTTTGGTGCTTCTTTTGTCGTGTTGCCTTAAGTTTTTTGTCTTTCTTTGATCTTGTTCATGGGCTGGGATTCATTCTCCTCACTGGTCTCGGTACCAAATGTGCATGTATATTGAAGGTATCAAATTAGGCCATGGCTGTTTTTATAACACTGTTCACACTAAATGAGCTTTTACCAAAATTGCCCATCCAATGATGAATTTGGTTTTTAGATATTTAATAAATTTTGACCTCAGCATCACTGGAATAGCTACTTGTAACAAATGCTGAAATTTCTTATGTTAGTATCAATTGTCATAAACTTTGCTTTTAGTGATCAAGAGTACATTTGTAATCTGAGTGCTCATCTGTACCATTAATAACTGAAACAGCTTTAGACATTAAGCAATTCTGATTAGTGTTTTGGCAATTAAAAATCACAAATCAGGTGAACATGAAAAAAAAACTTCTGACAAATTGGTTTTTGTAAGATAATGGTGCAGAATTTTTTTTTTTTTTTGTCTCAGTTTAGAATATTTTGACCAAGTATAATTTATAAATTTACATGTATTTCTGTTGGTTTGAATGTTTATGATCAAAATATGAAATGAGAATAAATTCAATCTCAACACATAGCAATGAACTGAATCATAGGAAATATAAGTGTAAAGTAAACAAGTGTAAATTATTTTTTAAACTAGTTAGGTCGTACATTGTGATTTTATCTTGTTTCTGAAGTATGACCACAATTCTATAACAAAGAAAAATACAAACCAATCCACAGTATAGTTTGAAATCATTTTCATCGGAAATTCATATGAAACATTACAAGTGATCAATGTCAGGCACTGTCCACCTCAGCATAAGGCAAATGAGGGCAATTTTTTTTTAGATAAAAGTAAGTTTTTAATTTTGTTTTGCTTTTGTTTTATATTTTAAGTGGAGGTATAATTTTACTTTGTAAATAAAGTAAGAAAAGAAATGAACAAATCAAGAGATGTGTTTTCAAATCGAGTTACAACTCTTTTTCTGTTGTTGTAGGCATAAAATATGTAAAGGACAGTTAGTTTTAAAGAGGTTACCTAGGTATTCAGTCATGTTGAACGGAATGCAGCTTAAATAATAAATGTCAGTTGATATGATTGTGGTTAGAAACATTTTGCATAATTTTTCCTTTATTCAAATTAGCCTGAACAATAAAAATCTACAACAGACAATAGACTGACATGAAAGGACTAGTTTTAAACAGCACCAAATCATCTGAATATGAATTTTAGAACAAAGTTCTACTTGCAACTGCCAAGTACATGTTTCTGGGAATAATTTTCTTGTATCAAGAACAAAATGTAGATGTTATTTTAATTCACAACCAGGAGCATTTCACCTGGCTTAATTATTGTAAGTCTCTTCAGTGTGCATCAACATCTCACTGGCCGATATGTCGGGAGAAACAGTAACTCATGTTGTACACTTAAACATGAAGAAATTTATACAAACTTCACTTCTGAAGTTATTCAGCAATGTACACATAGTCTTGTATTTCAAGAAATGTTTATAATTGGGAATATTTTGGGACAATGGTCTTAAGATGTTTTCCTGTATGGGAAGCCAACTTGATACTGAAGAGAAACAGAGAAAGGCTCTTAGAAAGGTAAATTTACAATGGCCATCCTTTTACAGATACTGTACATGTAGGTTGGACAATTATCTTTGTTTTTAATTCTGGAGTGAGTAGAAATGAATCCTTAGAATCTGTCATATGGGTTGCTGTAGTTGTTAACAAAACATTCTAGTCAAAATGTATGGGAAAATATAAACTG